GAGCAGATGATAGAGTGGGAGAGGCACTGTCAAGAAATTTTAATGAAAATAAGAAAAAATTTTGGAGTAAGTTAAACAAGTTCAGAAAGCTTAACCCTTTGACTGTCGAAGGGCCCAATCCTGAAGTTGCTCCTGGTGTCGCAAAATATTCGAAAAAAAAAAAAATTATTTTTTCTTATGAAATGATAGAGAATCTTTTCCCCGATTGTAAAGACACCAAAAAAAAAAAACGAAATTTGATGGAAAACTGACGGAATTAACGCTCTCGCGAAGTTAGCGACTTCGGCGATATTTAAAAATCGGCAATTTCGCCCACTTTGAACCCTATTTTCGGCTAATTCCGTTATTCCAGTCAACCAAACTCAAACTATTCTTCAGAACTCTATTTTTTCTATCGATTGAGCACAAGAAACTGCCCATTTACCGATTTCAACTACCCAATAACATGGTCAGAAATTTGCAATTTGGCCAATTTCACGAAAATTAAAAAATACGACAATTCAAAATAAGGTCCAGAATGAACAATGCAGACATCCTGGCTCTAAAATAAGATTTTCTTTGTTCATCAGTCATGTCTCCAGGTCCCTGTGATATTACTCTTGCTTTTTATTTTGAAATTTTATTCAAACAAAAAATAGAAGATTTACTGTTATGCAGACTACTGCAATACTGTAATAATTGTAAAAATTACATCAACCCATTCATGACTGCGTATTAGAATGGCTATTTGGACATTTATTGGACAATGACATCATTTGTTTACTTTTGAACATCGGCAAAAATCAAACATTTCCTGTACTTTGTGCTCCATTTCCAGTTCTTTTTATAGTAAAATTAATCAAAATCACCTCCATTTCTATAATATAGTTTCCATTCTATCAAATGAGACCATGAAAACGAGAATACAACCACAAATACTATACGAAAATAGACCACAAAGTCTGCATTTTAATTAAAAAAAACGGTCGGAGTTTTTTTTTTCTCATTATGCACTGCGTGCTCCAGGATTTTTTTTATGTGGTGCACACTGACCACACAGACCCATTCTCTCACATGTGGGCCTACTAGCTTTCTCCTGCCTGATTTGAAGCCGCTAGAATTTATGAGTATATATACGTCAAACACGGTACCTCACAAACGTATATATACGGCCGCGACAGTCAAAGGGTTAAGGAAAGTATGGATTTGTCAGTTAAAAACAGAGTAGGGGAGTTAGTAGATGGGGAGATGGAGGTATTAGGTAGATGGCGAGAATATTTTGAGGAACTTTTAAATGTTAAGGAAGAAAGAGAGGCAGTAATTTCAGGTATACCATCTTTTAGGAGTGAAGAAGAGCAGAATGTAAGTGTGGGGGAGGTACGTGAGGCATTACGTAGAATGAAAGGGGGTAAAGCAGCTGGAACTGATGGGATCATGACAGAAATGTTAAAAGCAGGGGGGGATATAGTGTTGGAGTGGTTGGTGGATGTGTAATGTCACCATGGTTGTTTAATATATTTGTAGATGGGGTTGTAAAGGAAGTAAATGCTAGGGTGTTCGGGAGAGGGGTGGGATTAAATTTTGGGGAATCAAATTCAAAATGGGAATTGACACAGTTACTTTTTGCTGATGATACTGTGCTTATGGGAGATTCTAAAGAAAAATTGCGAAGGTTAGTGGATGAGTTTGGGAATGTGTGTAAAGGTAGAAAGTTGAAAGTGAACATAGAAAAGAGTAAGGTGATGAGGGTATCAAATGATTTAGATAAAGAAAAATTGGATATCAAATTGGGGAGGAGGAGTATGGAAGAAGTGAATGTTTTCAGATAATTGGGAGTTGACGTGTCGGCAGATGGATTTATGAAGGATGAGGTTAATCATAGAATTGATGAGGGAAAAAAGGTGAGTGGTGCGTTGAGGTATATGTGGAGTCAAAAAACATTATCTATGGAGGCAAAGAAGGGAATGTATGAAAGTATAGTAGTACCAACACTCTTATATGGGTGTGAAGCTTGGGTGGTAAATGCAGCAGCGAGGAGACTGTTGGAGGCAGTGGAGATGTCCTGTTTAAGGGCAATGTGTGGTGTAAATATTATGTAGAAAATTCGGAGTGTGGAAATTAGGAAAAGGTGTGGAGTTAATAAAAGTATTAGTCAGAGGGCAGAAGAGGGGTTGTTGAGGTGGTTTGGTCATTTAGAGAGAATGGATCAAAGTAGAATGACATGCAAAGCATATAAATCTATAGGGGAAGGAAGGCGGGGTAGGGGTCGTCCTCGAAAGGGTTAGAGAGAGGGGGTAAAGGAGGTTTTGTGGGCGAGGGGCTTGGACTTCCAGCAAGCGCGCGTGAGCGTGTTAGATAGGAGTGAATGGAGACAAATGGTACTTGGGACCTGACGATCTGTTGGAGTGTGAGCAGGGTAATATTTAGTGAAGGGATTCAGGGAAACCGGTTATTTTCATATAGTCGGACTTGAGTCCTAGAAATGGGAAGTACAGTGCCTGCACTTTAAAGGAGGGGTTTGGGATATTGGCAGTTTGGAGGGATATGTTGTGTATCTTTATATGCGTATGCTTCTAAACTGTTGTATTCAAGCATCTCTGCAAAAACAGTGATAATGTGTGAGTGTGGTGAAAGTGTTGAATGATGATGAAAGTATTTTCTTTTTGGGGATTTTCTTTCTTTTTTGGGTCACCCTGCCTCGGTGGGAGGCGGCCGACTTGTTGAAAAAAAAAAATTATTATTATTATATTATTATTTTCTCAGTTGTGTGTTGGGTTATCTTATTCAAACTTGGACAATGTATGATGGAAAGATACTTCTTAACGTACACCAAAAATGAAAGAAATCTGACCATAAATAACGGAGTTCACTTCTCAGCCATTAGTGGCCGCTTAGCGGTATATTTTTGTATGTTTTTTATGGTTATATTCTCATTTTTTCGGTCTCATTTGATAGAATGAAAGATACATTACAGAACTAGATATGATTTTGATTGCTTTCATGACGAAAAGTACCTTGAAATTGCGCTCACAGTAGCGAAAATGTTCTATTCTTTAGCGAAGCTCAAGAGTAAACCGTCCAATACCTGTCCGCCTGCCAGCCCAAATTCCAATACGTAGTCAAGAATGGGTTGACATTATTTGTACAATTATTACAATAATGCAGCAGTCTGCATAACAGTAAATCTTCTATTTTTTTGTGAATAAAAATTCCAAATGAAAAGCAAGAGTAATATAAGAGGGGCCTGTAGCCATGACTAATGAACAGAGAAAATGTTATTTTAGTGCCAGGAATGTCTGCATTGTTTATTCTGGACCCTATTTTGAAATTGGCATTTGTTGAAATTTGTGTGAAATCGGCCAAATTGCCAATTTCTGACCACTTTATTGGGTAGTTGAAATAAGTGAATGGGCAGTTTCTTGTGGTCAGTTGACAGACTAGAAGTAAATAAGTTTATTCAGGTACTATACACAAATACAGTTACATAGATTATCATACATAGCAGTGTATGTATAGAGAACCTAGGATAACCCAAAAAAGTAAAAGTGACTTATTTCCAGTACCTGGCTTGGGCTTGCTATATATGATTTTTGGTAAATATTTTTTTTTTCTCAGTTGTTTGCTGGGCTATCTCATTGAAACTTGGGCAATGTATGATGGAAAGATGCTTCTTAACATACAACAAAAATAAAAAAGACGGACGATAAATAAGGGGGTTCACTTCTCAGCCATTAGCCACCTCTTTGCAGTATATTTTCGTATGGTTTTTTTATGGTTGTATTCTCATTTTTTTGGACACATTTGATAGAATGGAAGATATATTACAGAAATAGACATGATTTTGATTGCTTTCACGACGAAAAGTATCTTAAAATTGAGCTCAAAGTAGCGGAAATGTTCAATTTTTGCCAGTGTTCAATGAACTTTGTGTAAGTCAAGTTGGTTAATTTTATTAAGTGTATTCTAACCTAACCACTCTGTAATCCAGCAAACTTAGATATCTGGCACACTACAGGTCCCAGTGATGCCGGATTTGTGATGGAGGACCTGTAATTGGAATGGTTTTGTCTTGATGTGATACACTGTTTCTATTAAAGCTCCGATATTGGGAGAGTATTTTAGGCAAACTTAGGACTAATTTAAAATTTATTAGGCATTAGTTATATTAGGAATTTTATGTTTGCAGTTATTTAGGCGAGTGTAATTTGTTTGGATGTGTTCATGATACAAAAAAGAGACTAGGTGGTTTTCATATAGTTAGCTGATGATGGGGTGCATTAGGGAGATGTTTTTTAATGGTAGTTTTGAAAATGGGGGTTGAGTCTGCGGTTCTAGAGTTTTCAGGCAGGGAGTCCCAGATTTTAAGCCCCTTTGTGTACATCAAATTTTTGTAGAGATAACACATTGGCTGTGTACCACTGATGCAGGGTGACCCGAGGAAAAGAAGCACTGTTCACCATCACTCATTCATTAGCTATCTTGTCAGAAGTTTGTAGACATCACATTTCAAATGACCCTTCAAAGTATACAATATCCTCACTTCTTCGGAGTGCAGGCACTGTACTTCCCGCTTTCAGGGCTCAAGTTCATCTAGCTGGTTTCTCTGAATCCATTCATAAATTCTGTTTTCCTCAACCTCCAACATGTCAAGCCATAAAACCCACTTGTCTCCATTCACTCTGATCTGACACACTTGCATAAGCCTGCTGCTGTCTAGTAAATATTTTAGTGAAATGTTCTTCAATAAAGGCTCATTTTGTAGGGTGTTTTAGTTTAAGTCAGCAGTTTGTTTGCCATTGCAGTTTTCACAATATGCAACTGATTCATAACAAATGTAGTATTTAGTATGTTGTGCATCATGGACTGTTACATTTTACACAGAAACCATAGATATTAGAATTTATTTTCATAATATGTTGAAATGCAGTATTGGAAATGTGTGTGATTGTAAACAGGAATTAATGATAAATGATTCCAGATTTGTACCATTAACAAATGGTACCCTTGTTATTTTTTCACAGGTAGCAAATGCTGCTGCTGAAGCAGAAGCTAAGGCAAAAGAAAGTGCAAGAAATGTGGAGAAGTTACAAGGAGAGCTTCTGTTTAAGGTATTTGAGCTATTCTTTATATCTCAATGAAATGATGTTCTCGAGAAGGGTACAGCCAATGTGTAGTTGCTGTTTGCTGCCTATCTTGTATAGAAGTTGTCTTCTTGCTGTTCATGAAGTGGTGTGGAGAAATTTTCTCCAGGAGGGGGGCATCAGCCCCCTTCAGCCCTTTTCAGCCCTGAGGGGCCCAGCCCTCTTGGAAGGGGCAAGCATCTTGTTCACTTCCACTTCTAGTAATTACAAGCAGATGTTTAACCAGCGTGTACCAGTCATGGGTCATGTTACTCCTCGCAAGAGAACAGTGTTGCAAGTAATTTGAGTTATAACGAGAGTAATTAACCCCTAAACGGTTCCAGTGTATATATATGTTCTTACCGCTAGCGCCCCAAATGTATATATACGTTTTAATTTTCCTGCCTCCAAATTTGGCACAGTTGGCTTGAGATGCCTGGTCAGCATAGAATGGGTCTTAAGACTCAGTGTGCACCATATTAAAAAAATCTGGTACCACTTAGTACCTTGTGGGAGCGCCAGTTAAATTGAGTGCCAGCTCAAGCAAACACTGCGGCAAACACCAAGGATTCACTGATGTAATGTCATATTAACACTCCCCTTTTAAGAGGAAAGTGATGTTAGCCCCAAGTTTAGGGTCTGTCTGTCTCTGTCTGTCTATCTCTGTCTGTCTCTTTCTCTTTTTATCTGTCTCACAGGTACACACAAATACAATTATACTTCCTTCTTCGTCCTCCTCCTCCTTCCTTCTTCTTCTTCTATACTCCCATGTATCCAAAACATTGCTGGGACCTATAAATACTTGCATATATTCCTAGATGGCCGACTTGTTGAAAAGAAAAAAAAACAAAAAACAAAAAAAATCCTAGGCAATAGTAAATGACCAAGGCAAGTGTAAATGTCCACCTGTCAATGTCTTTGTGAAAATTTGAGTACAATTTCAGTACCTAACATTAGTGTCAGAACAAAAATTGGTTATAAAATGCCAAGAACTACAATAAATTGTCATTATCAGAACATGAAAATTCTATATAATAATAATAGAAATGAGAAAAATTGGTATATCGGCAACACTTCCTCAAGTAGCAGGACTTGATGTTGCCATCAGGTGAGCATTAAGTGCCAATTTTGCAGCCTCATATCTCAGAAAGTACTGATCCTAATTTTATTTTAATTCTATAACACTTAAAAAAAAATTCTATTTCAGTGAAAAAAAAAAAAAATTTCTAAATATTCCGGGCACTGGGGGTGAAAACGTATATATACATTTGGACCATTTAGGGGTTAATCTGCATGCAGTTCATAATGAGAAAAAAAACTCCGACCGTGTTTTTGGATTAAAACGCCGAATTTGAGGTGTATTTTCGTATAGTATTTAAGGTTATATTCTCATTTTCTTGGTCTCATTTGATAGAATGGAAGACATATTACAGAAATAGAGATGTTTTTGATTAGTTTCACAATGAAAAGGACCTTGAAATTGAGCTCAAATTAGCAGAAATGTTCAATTTTTGCCGATGTTCAGGAGTAAACAAATCACGCCACAAGTCCAATACAAGTCAACTGGTGAGTCTGTTATTCTTTCACATGTGCACTGATTTTATTTATACCATTTTTACAATAATGCAGTAGTCTGCATAACAGTAAATCATCTAATTTTTGTGTGAATAAAAATTCAAAATAGAAAGCAAGAATAATATAAGAGGGGCCTGGAAATCTGACTAATGAACAGAGAAAATGTTAATTTAGTGCCAGGAATGTCTGCACTGTTTATTCTGGACCTTATTTTGAAATTGGCATCTTTTTTAATTTTTGTGAAATTGGCCAAATTGCTAATTTCTGACCCCTTTATTGGGTAGTTAAAATTGGTAAATGGATGGTTTCTTGTACTCAGTCGATAGAACAAATGCAGTTCTAAAGAAATAGTTATGAGTTTGGTCAACTGGCATAATGGAATTGGCTGAAAATAGGGCTCAAAGTGGGCGAAATTGCTGATGCGTATGTATCGCCAAGATCATGAGAGTGTAATTCCGTAAGTTTTCCATCAAATTTCTTACTTTTGGTGTCATTACCATCAGGAAAAGGTTCTCTATAATTTCACAAGAATTTTTTTTTTTTTTTTTTTTTTAATATTTTGCGACACAGGGAGACACTTTCAGAATTGGGGTTGCGACAGTCAAAGGGTTAAGTAATGTGCAATTAACCCTTAAACGGTCCAAACGTGCACATATGTTCTCTCGCGCAGCGCCCCAAACGTAAGATAAGATAAGATAAGATTTCGTTCGGATTTTTAACCCCGGAGGGTTAGCCACCCAGGATAACCCAAGAAAGTCAGTGCGTCATCGAGGACTGTCTAACTTATTTCCATTGGGGTCCTTAATCTTGTCCCCCAGGATGCGACCCACACCAGTCGACTAACACCCAGGTACCTATTTGCTGCTAGGTGAACAGGACAACAGGTGTAAGGAAACGTGTCGAAATGTTTCCACCCGCCGGGAATCGAACCCGGGCCCTCCGTGTGTGAAGCGGGAGCTTTAGCCACCAGGCCACCGGGCCACACGCAGGATATATATACGTTTAATTTTTCATTCATTCAAAATTGGCATGATAGACCTGAGTCGCCTAGACATGAGGGAATAGGTGTGTACACTCAGTGTGTGCTGTATGAAAAAATTGGGGATGCCTGGGCACCACATGGTAGGTCCAGTTACATTCAGTTCCATTTTGGGTCAGCATCATGGCACATCCTCATGATTCACTCACGCCTTGTCGTATTAACACTCTACTATTCGAGTTAAGTGATATAGATCATGAGTTTAGTGGATTTGACACCAATGAGGCCAGTAATATTCAATGAATTAGTGAAAATGTCGACGATAACCCAGATGACCCTCAGCCCATCGCCTCTGGGGTAGCCACACCTGTCCTTGGGCCAAGCACCTGTGTTGTAGCCAGTGTGGCCACAGCAGACCCTAGGCCAAGCACTTCTGGGATGGCCAGTGTGGCCACACAAGACCCTGGGCCAAGCACCTCTGGAGTGGCGAGTGTTACCCATAGGCAACTTCGCAAGAGGAAACTATCATTTTCCCGGTGTTTTAGTGATAGTGAAAGTGATGTAAGTGACAATGAGATTGATTTTATGCCATCCAAGGATTCGTCTAGCAATAGTGAAGTTCATTATTCACCAGTGAAGCGTACTTTTAGGCGGCGGCATCTATGTTCAGGCAGTGTGCCATATGCAATCACCAAGGGTCGTGGCAGGTCACGATCCAAAACCTCGGCCACTGATAGTGAAAGTGATCATGAAGGCAGGTATGCGGGGATGGAGGAAGTGGTGGTGGCGGCATGGTGCCTGGACCACATGGCACGGTGGGTGGACAGACAAAGGACTGCCCGGCATCCCCTCAACCATGTGCTGCCTCCTCTCCTGTCCCTCCTCCTGCTCCCCCTCGCCCCACGCCCCAGGTCCACCCTGCACCATGTGATCGTGAGTGGAACTGGACACAAAGTATATTCGTGCCACAGCCTTGTGGTTTTGATGCGAGTGGAAGTGGTATCCAGCCAGAATGTTCCCTAACGAATGAGTCTACAGAGTTAGACTATTTCCAGTTGTACTTTGACGAGCCTATAATGAACTTGATAGTGACCCAGACAAACAAGTTATTACCGATATGTCATGATGATTCTCATGGAGAATCATCATGGCTGCACAGGTGGAAAGAGACAACAGTGGCTGAAATGTATTTATTCCTTGCCACTGTCATGCTTATGTCACATCTATAAGAACAATATACATAATTACTGGTCCACAAACCACTTCATCAGCTTTCCGTGACCTCCTTCCCTGTAACAGATTCACTCTGTTGCTATGAATGTTGCACTTCTCAGACAAACACGCCAAACAGAAATGACCTTCTATACAAAATTCGGGAAGTGTTTATGTATTTGATGCAGAAATTCAGTGCATACTTTTATCCCTTCAAGAACGTTGTTGTTGATGAGCCCTTGATTCTGTTCAAGGGACGCCTGTCATTCAAGCAATGTATACCGAGCAAACATAATTGCTTTGGTATAAAACTTTTTGTTATGTGTGACTGTGAGAGTGGTCTTGTGTTGGATGTTATTGTATACACCGGGAGAAACGCACTCGATGATGACAGACGGATGTTGGGCATTTCCAGTGATGTTTGCAGGATGATGAAACCATACCTTGGCAAGGGCCATACATTGTACACAGACAACTGGGATACAAGCCCTATGCTCGCTGATTTCCTACATGTGAACAATACTGATATATGTGGAACAGTGAGAAGGAATGGAAAACATATGCCAAGGTTCAGTGGAGGCAGTGTTGAAGGTGCAGTGCAAGTGTTTCATGCTAGCGACATCATGGCACTGACATGGCATGACAAACGGGACGTGACAATGCTGTCAACCATCCACAGAAACGAGATGGTACAAACAGACAGACTGAGCAGGTTCGACAATGAACCTATTGTAAAGCCAGCTGCTGTCGTGGACTATACGTACAGTATGAAACTAGTTGACAAGTGTGACATGATGATAAGGTTTGTTGACTGTGTACGTAGGAGTCGCAAGTGGTATATAAAACTGTTTTTTCACCTTGTAGACATTGCAGTGCTCAATGCATTCAACATGTATGAAATAAAGACCGGAAAACGACAACGTTTTACAGAATTCTCTCTGAATGTTGTCAAACAGATAGCAAGAAAGTATGGTACCACACTTGTACCTGCCTCTCAACAGTGACTTGTCCCACAACCACAGCCAGTGGGGGAAGTGCCGGACCGAATCACTTCTGTCACTATCTGGTACCAATACCACCAACCCCAAAGAAGAATTCCCAGAAAAAGTGTGTTGTGTGTGCTACCACCAAAAAACGACCCCAAGAGTGAAAGAACACACAATTCATTTGTCACTTGTGTGGGGTAGCACTCTGTATGAATCCATGCTTCATGGATTATCAT